TTCACCGTTAAAGAGTTCCAGGTCTTCTAGACCAATTAGAAAGCCAAATAAGGCATGCAAAACCAATGCATATCCAGGTTTACTTTCGACGGTCAATTACAAATTTCACTAACTGTAACTGCGATACCTAATATCCAAAGCCTTTGGAGACCTCCTCGAAACCTTATTAGACATCCCGTCTTAGTTTTTATCGTATCAAGCGTATGTCCGAAATGATAGTCAATTACTTGAAATCGCTAAAAACTAACCAGGTTGGGGGCGGCCAGGTCCAGGAGGTGGAGGTGGAGGTGGAGGTGCTGCTGTGAAAAGACATGAATTCAAAATTGAACCTCGTCCGTAACATCGAGGAAACGAGACCATATAAATGGGTCCTAGTGTTTTCAAGTCTTCTTTCAGAGACATGCTACTCAGATGACGCTATTACCTTGTAATAGCGTTGCTAGCCTTTATGCCTGGATAGAAAGAACAACGAACGCAAAACTGTTTTTCATTGAAATCAAACGTAACATAGTAAAGGAAACTCTTTATTCATTACGGTTGAGTTGTCGACGGTTTTTATTGTCCTGGAGGGGGACACTCTACAAACGAGGGGGTTACTTAAGCTTATGACTGACCTGGCTCAGGCCCGGGGGGCTCGTTTTCTGGCTTTTTGCCGTCAGCTTTGGTTCCTATATAAACATAGTGAGAGGTGAAGTTCTTGGTAGAAAAAAAAAACAACATTTATATTATGAATAAAAGTTATAATAATTGTTTTATTTTAAAAGAAAAGGATCTCATCCCGGTAGCTACGCGCTCGAATTAATTTACATGACATAGTCACGTGAACGTACCGCCACAGCCATACATAAGCCGAGCTTGCCGTATGTCACTTTTACTGGGGCTTTTACGCTGACCAATTTCAGCATTAGCTTTTATAGGCTCCATCGTCATGGCATTAGGACGATTATTCCCTTGGTACTTGGAATAGTGCATGATGGATCCGTAGTCATATGGCTCTCCTCGATAGTCTACCTCATTAGGGTCAGCCTTTTCAAACTGACTTGCTGCTCCTGAATTGTGTGAGAAAATACTGTTAGAAGCATTCAGGCATAAATCACCCGGCTAGATATATAAGCGGCGAACATAGGCACGTGCAACTGAACTTATCACAATAAGCGCGCTACTAATGATTTCATAACAATACGTGCATTCATGGTATAGTCATTGATTTTGCGGTGTTTGAGCATGCA